CTTGTGAGAGAAGATAATAGAAAATGATTTCTAAGAGTAAGATAAGAGCCCTGTATAGCAAATACATCTATGTTAAATGTTGGACTGATGCTGTCTCTACCACTAGGTGGCATAGTTTTTTAGAGTAGGAACAGTTTCTCTCTAAACCACTTAGTTTTATATTTCCAGCACTTAGTTTCTGGAGGTATTGAGTTCTCCATAGTTGGAGGTATTCATGCAGCTATAAATACGGGGAGATATCCCAAGTATTGCTGAGGGGACTAAAACACTGGCTAGTGGTCTAGATGGGAGTATGAAGTTCAAATGGTCTGTGTGAGAGTGTTTTGAGTTCTCTGCGAGATAAGTACTGTATAGGACACTATGGTTCTTTACTAAGAGGAAACACAATGTATCAGATAGAGATGTTGTAGACGAAAAGTGGATGCAACTCTCAATTCCAGGCTTCAGTTTCTTCACCTACTAAGAAAGTAAAATCTAAAACTAGTTGATAGTATTATCGTGAGATTGAGTTAACAGTGACCAGACGTAGGCGGTATTCAAAAGTTTTAGTTTATTGTCTTTTAACATATTATCCACTGGTAGAGCTGATAATGCTCAATATTTTGTCATATGGGAGTTTTTGTTGAAATATTCTTTTTGATTCTCTAAATCTACTTCAATCATAATGATGGATCTATAACATGTAAATGTACTTGTCTTAGCAGAAGGTCAATGAAAAAAAGGTTTAAAATATTTAAAATCTGGGTTAGGATGTGTAACAAACTAAAATTCAAATTTTTTTTAGACTTAGCTAACACTAATGATGGTTTTAAACAGCAATCTCAATTACAGTAAGCTGTTTCTTGTCAGGCCAGCTGCAAGGAGTGGATTTGATTACCTAAATACATTCAATGTGGTCAGAAATTTAACACTGAGGCCCAGCAGGGGAGAAAGAAGTCTGAAGAGCAAATCGACTCATAGTGTGATTTATAATAATAGGAGGCTTTTCTAAGAAATTTTATCTGAAAGTTAAGAACTCCTTTGAGATTTTCACCATCAACTCAGCATAGTGCTATTATTTTGTTATTGAAACACTTAAACTTTTGTTTTACTTACCCCTTACAGAGGAATCAGTTTAAAATTAGAGCAGAGAGTAGCAGCTTTTGAGTGCTAATCTGGGTTGGGTACTAAGGATTTCAAAGATTGCAGTGAGCAGCCTGTCAGCCATGTATTAAATTTACTCATTAGATTATTTTGAGAAAAAAAAATTAAGAAAAATATAATACAGGACAGGTTTTAATATAATATGCTATAAAAAGTTTTTCAAAGATATATCCATATACTTTTATTATGATCAATAGTATGTTCCCCTAGGTATATTTTGGGATGTCTGCCAAGCTCTTAATACTTTTTCCTCTCTGAAAATTAGTGTCTCCCCATATTGTCCTTGGGGCTGGGTCCCCAAGAACTATGTTTATATTATTTGAATTTCTCCCCTCCCCTCCCCTCCACTTCCCTCCCCTTGCCACTGGTGGTTGATGAGTGGTAGATCCAGACCTAATTTCAAGTGAATTTCTCCCTATAGTTAGAGGTGACTGACTAGTGCTAGACACCTGACAAGCCTGGCTGAATACCATTTTCTCACCTGCGGATATGGAACAGAACTGAGAGGCTGGTATCTGCTGGTGACTAGAGCTGGACATAAAAACATGGCAGCCACAGGAGGAGATATTTTACTATATGTAAGCCACATTGTCAAAGAAGCCAAAAAAATTCAGTATGTAGATTAAATGGAATGGAAACACATATGCAGAGAAAACAGAGATGAGATAAGAAGAAAGATTCCTTATGGTTTTCTAGTTCCTTGGTATAGACCTTTCCTAAGCCCAGATGCCATTCCTATTGCAGGATTTTATGAACCTATATTCATAGGATATTTCCCCGACTTAGTAATTCTACTAAATGAAGTTCAAAGTGCTTCTGCCTTTTTGCAATCAATAATGTCTAACTGATTCACAAAAAACAGATTATAAATGTTCATAACTTCAAAGGGTCCATAATTTATCCCAAGAAAAAAATTAAATATTATATATGATAAAATTTATGTAATAGTTACCTCTTACTGAATATCAACAATATTCTAGGTATTTATGCATGCTTATAAGTGATTACGAATGTTTTTAATCTTCAATAGAATCTTGAGAGGCTGAAATTATTATTTCCATCATACAGAAGAGAAATCCAAACCTCAGAGTGCTTATAAAATCACACAGGGAGTGACACAGCTAGAGTTCAAACCTTGAGATGCTGTTGTCTCTTTCAAAATGCCACATTCTGTCCACCCAGTGACACTCAGGAATCTCAGACGGAACCCTTCGACTTCCCTGAGGTATCTTAATTTCAAGAAACACTGTCTCAATTTAACCCAATCCTTCAGTCTAATCACCTTCACTTCATAAAAGCATTCCTTTACTCCTCTATCTTTCACATGTCCACATATTTTCCATCATCAAATCTTAACAGGTGATTTTTGCAGTACACTTAGAACCGACCCTCCTCTCATCGCTTCCATCATCCTCTCATGGGGTGGGTGGGGGGGCAATGCAACCAGTTAACAGTCTTCCGGTTTCCACCTGTGTGCCTACCTCCACCCTCATGTTCTATTATCCATGATGTAGGCAGAATAAATCTTTCAAAATATAAATCTAATCATGCCATTTTCCTCCTCCACACCCTCCAACGGCATCATGAATTGGCCTGTCGACTGCCCCAATGTTATTTGCTACATCCCCCTCATACATTCTGCTCCAGCTTTAATGTGCTCCGTGCTGATCCCCAAATATTTCAAACAGGTTTCACTCAAGGGCATTTATGCTTTCAGTTTCCTCTACTAGGGATGTTGTTTACAGAGGCAGCCACTTGGCCAAGAACCTCAGTTCATTTAGGCATTTGCTCAAACGTCTCCACTTCAGAGAGACCTTCCCTAACTGACCATTAGCGGACTCTCCTCATCTCTCTCCAGAGCACTTATCTCTACCTCACTAATTTGTATTTATTTATTTACATATGTTTGTTTTCGGTCTTTTCCCACTACAATGTAAGCTTTACAAAAGCAGACATGTGGTTTGATTTGTTCACAGATACGTCTCCAGGACCTTCACAACATACCTAAAATAAGATGGAAGCTCAATGAATGACTGAGTGAATAAATAAAATCAAGTGGGTACTTTAAATTCTAAGTAAAATTTTCAGGTTACTTAATATTTAATGTTGTACTATTTTCTGTTATCATTTCTAAGGAACATCCTTACCTCTTAAATTTTCCCATTAAGAATATAACCCTCTCATTCACATTTCCATAAACTCTTTATGCTCTTGTTGATTTGATTCATATTCTAGTGATATAATCACCATAAGACTGAAATGCATATGAAAGGCTAAAACTGTTTGGCAAACTCCTCTTTCATAGTCCCATATATGCTGTGTTAATTCTTCTATCAAGTTAACAATGTTAACTACCGTTACCTGAAAAGTTTTTCTCGCTTCTTAATTTTTAAAAATTGATCTGTTTAAGCCTCTATTTGGAGGACGAAAACACAATAGTGACAATATACATAAAGATTGTGGAGCTAAATAGTTTCTTAAAGATAAAAAAGTGATCCTACTGCCCTTGTTGTGGATTTTTAATTAAACAAGCACTTATTTTGCACATACTATGTCTCTGGCAAGAGATGGCAGAACCAGGGATAGTCCCTGAGTTTTTTTAACTTGTGGGTTTGTTTGCAGAGTAGAATATGTTTTCTGTTTCTGGTTTTGCAATTTTAAGATTGTCTCAGGTTTTAAATATTGATACTTGATGTAGTAAAGATGCTTTAGATGAACAAGTTTTATCTGTTTCAGTAGAAGTGAATTTTTAGTTAATTTTTCTTCACTCTTACAGATATTTGTCAATGTTTCATATTTAAGCATTAACATTATTCCTAAAATTGAATATATGCTAAGAATTAACATATTCTTAGAACTACACATAAACTATGTTCACTTTATCTTACAATTAAGTTTTGATTATGAACCAGTCCATGTTTTAAGTGCCCAGTATGTGACAGTAACTGTACCTGAAGAGTTCATATTTAATGAGCAATAATTTACATAAGACATTGAAGAGGACAGCATGTTTATGGGCAGTTGAATAAAACAAACACCTAGATCAGGAGATGGACATGCTGGAGAGGTTAACGGCAGAAGAAATCATTTTCTTAGTAGAATAATCTGGCCTGCCTCAATTAAACATTTGCAGAAGACTTCCTATGGTTATACTATTAGTAAATTTTCCCTTTTCAAGTTTCACAAACTAGTTGGAGAAATGGACCCAAGGACCACTATGTAATTAGTGGAATACTAGCAATTAGAACTAAAGCTCAAAAGATGTTTAGATATATTAGATGACCAAAAGATAATGTAGATAGGAAGGGAGGAGGATGCTTGGAAACACTGCATTTTATCTGTTCATTGTATATTTTTTTGAATTCTTTATACCAGTCCACATCTTTAATACGGTGAAAGAAAGAAGCAGGATAGATAAATGAAAGACCAGCCACATGGGCTACATTATTACCAAAGTTTATAATATAATCATATTTCATTTTTCAAATATTTGAGTTTTATGCTAATCTTTATGAAGTTCTAGAAATTGCTGAATATATGGCAATTCATCTTTTGTTTATAATTATTTCTCATTTGAAATCTGATCAAACTTCTTAAGGATAAAAAACCTCAAGATAGTTTGGTTATTAAAATACAAGCTCTTTAACTAGCACCAACATTGAGGACACCTGTAAAATGAAACCTTTTCTCAAAATGTTCTCATTTAAATGCACTGCTTAAACTCTCTTACAAATGACATTTGTTTTTTGCAGCAAACATTACCTGATATATTCATGGTATATGAATGGTTTGAGACATAGCATTGTTAACTAATCAGTTTAACTCATCCTTACGACTTATTTCTTGAGAGTACTTACATATTCTTCATAAGCTTCGTGAGCTGGAGGAGGAGGTGCCCTGTATCCTGGCACTGCTGGTGCTCCCCGGGCTCGAGGAGTGGGGACACCTCTTGCTACAGGCGGCACTGGAAGGGCTCCACGGGTTACAGTGCTTCCCCGAGGGGTGAGAACACCTCGTCCAGGTGGTGGGGGAGGAGGAATGGCACCTCCACGGCCCCTAGATAAACAAGTCATGATAGATGAGAAACAGGTGATAGGAGAAAAGGGCGTATTGCAGAAAAAGCTTTCCTCTCACAGCCTCCATACGATGAAATAAATACAGATTTCTCTCTCTGTCTCTCTCTCACTTTCCCTCTCTCTATGTGCATGTATATGTATATGTGCTTATTATAAATTACATAAGATATAAAGTGTGCTGATCTCTATAGAAGACAATAATTTTAAATACTGACTATGACTTAGTTCTTAGGAAAAACATGTAAAATACTTTGTTATTGTCTTTTATAAAATTAAAAACCAAAGCAAAATAAAACACCCAAACAAAAACCCACTCTGAATATAACTCCATTGTATTCCAAATTCTCCAAGAAGAAGCAAATCAGAGCATCGTCTGATATATGACTCACTGGACCATCTCTGAAACTGAGTGGCTAGATGTCTATGTCTCCTCTATGCTGGGGATTACTGACAGTGATGGACAATGCTGTCATTTACCAAAAAAAAAAGTTTTCTGTACTTTAATAAACTGTAGAACTCTAACCATGGTGATATCATTCTGTTTATTATAGCAGCTTAAGTTTGAGGTCACTTGAAATCACAACTGCTTGTCCCTGATTTATCATCATGTATGTAACCCCATGAGCGGGTGCAGTCCCTGACAGAATACATTTTCTTACAGTATCTATGATGCGAGAGGAATACTTTAGTATCTGTAATGAAAATAATGGACTAAATACTGTGTATTGCAGTTCTTCATACAAGATTAACTTGCACTCCAAGAGTAAGATCAAATGGTTGTAGCCAATTTTTATGGTATTTTGAAGCCTTTAGAAAGGCTGAGTGTTTGTCTGAAATCTTTGAGCAAAAGCACGGCTATTTCGCTTTTTATTATATCTGAAAGGTTGGCCTCTAGAGAGCACTGCTTTCAGCAGGAACACTAGCTCTGGGAAAAATGATGATCACTGAGATGTCAACAATCAGTATTTGGCTGTACCCACATATGGGGACGTAGGTTATGCTGTCTGCTATGAATAGCACTCAGATGGCTCTTCCTTGCTTAAAATAAAATGAGCTTTTATGAGTGAAAAGTCAGAATGCTGGTAAAGCTTTTACAATTTTAAAATAATTATAGAGCTGATGAATAGAGAAATGATCAGAGAACTTACTGTGAGTCTAATGTATAAAGAATACTCTCCTAGATTGGGAGAAGGTGAAACACAAAGACCCAGAGGCCCAGTGCTGGCTTCAAGTACAACATGGCTGAGAATACAGTATTCTGTGTTATCAGGATGATATATAAATGCATCTATTAAAAAGGGATGTAAAGACCGATTTTGCCTTCACTAGTCCTCTAAGCACATTTCTGCTTCCTCATAAGCAAGATGAGCATATGTCCAGGTTTTATAACTGTTGTTCTAGCTTCCGGTTCAGTTTAGCATTTTAACACTCTCAAAAGTGTCCATGTGTGGCTAATAAATTATATGGTCACCCTACTCTATACTATATTCACAAGTCTTAGCTATATCATTGAATAGTCATGGGTAAGTATTACCCATGGGTAAGATATTGTTTTTGAATGAGTAAAATACAGATTTCTAAGTTTTATAGTACTTCCTTCTGCTCTAATATTATATGATACTCACATCAAACTAATTTTCCATTTTCTTCCTTCATCAGCTGACTACCAGACATAGCCCTAGCAAACCCTCTCCTGAACCTGACTCATTAGCTCTTATCTACTATTCCTCTCCCTGGGATATTAACCTCATTGTTCTCTCCTCCAATTTAATTCACATCACTTTTTTAAGGATACTTCCCCTGGCTAAAACCACAAATAAAAGAAAATATCCTTTCTTTTATTGGCTGATGTGCAGAAACAACATTTTCCATGTTTAATTCTTTACTTCCTCCACATTCCTGAACTGAATGTTGTCAGTCTATTTCTTGCTTTCACCCCTCTGCTGAACATGCTCTTGGCTCAGATGACCAGTAGCCTGCTGATTTCCAAATCCACTAGATTCTTTTACAGTCTCCATGCCACAGCACATTCCTGTTATTTTTTAGATTGTGGACTATTATCTGGAAAATGTTTCTTCAGGCTTTTATGACTGCTTTTCTCTACTTTTCCTCCTTCCTTCTTACTCCTCATCCTCCTTCACTGGCTTCTATTCCTGGATCCACTTTTGAATCTGGATGTCCCCAGTTTCTGTCCTCAATATCATGGTTGCACCCGGCAGTCCCTAACTGTGATAACCGCTATTATCTGATTTCCTCCTGACATAATGCTATATCTTGGCTTGTGTTCCTTATATCAGAAGTTTCTTAACTTGCCTGCACGTTAGAGTTACCTGAGGATCTTTTGAAATTTCCAGATTCCAGGCCATACCCTAGGGCAATTAAACCACAATCTCTGGAGACAGGAAGCTCCCAGTGATTCCAAAGTACAGGCCAATTTGGTAAGCACTGCCTTATATGAATTCTCTATTTTTTTTTTTTTTTTTGAGACAGAGTCTCACTCCAATCTCAGGCGCCAGGCTGGAGTGCAGTGGTGCAATCTCAGCTCTCTGCAACTTTCGCCTCCCGGGTTCAAGCAATTCTCCTGCCTCAGCCTCCTGAGTAGCTGGGACTACAGGCACGTGCCACCACACCCAGCTAATTTTTGTATTTTTAGTAGAGACAGGGTTTCACCTTGTTGACCAGGATGGTCTCGATCTCTTGACCTCGTGATCCGCCTGCCTCGGGCTCCCAAAGTGCTGGGATAACAGGAGTGAGCCACCACGCCTGGTCGAATTCTTTAATTTAAGCATCTTGACAAACTTGTCATGTGAGCAGTTCTAATCTATTTTAACAATAAGTTGAGATACCAAGACATGGAGAGTACAAGTCACCTGCCTGAGGTCATACCAACAATCCACAGAGCTCAGATTATTTACAGGAATAATTATATTCTTCATTTAATTTGATCCTTCAGCTAATCTTAGTTAATAATAATCACCAATTTCTTACCAGGCTAGACACCAACAATTTATCTTTGTCTTGGGTAAGACTTCTTATCCAACATCTAATTGACATTATATAAATGTTATACTCCCATCTGGCCCTCTCTCTATGCACTCCAAATGCTGCTCATTTTTATCTGCCTGGAATGACGGACTTGTCTTCTCATTTGCTCCCCTGCCATAGATGATTTCTCTGTCTCTATCTCTCTCTCTTTCAATCACTCTAACTCATCTGCATCATCCACAGTGATGACTGAGTAGTCTTTCCTAGAAACAAGTATAATTATTCTCCTCTTTAACAAACTCCATTAGTTCTATGTGTTAGTTCTCACTGTGGTAAACAAAAGCCTTCAAAATTTACCCCTAATGTTTCACTTTCCAGTGATTGCACTCACTGCAACATGTAGTGATGATGTGTGTTAGAGATGTCATATATTTTCATTCGTCAATTATGCAAAATAAATTATTATTACAATATATAGATGTAATGCTTTATTCTCTGGTACACATTATTGGAAAATTAGAGTTATTACAGATAGGATTATTGAAATGTAAATTGCTTTAATTAAATACATTTTCAACAAATTATAGAATTTAAAAATATTCTAGGCATCATCTTTTTGAATTTGTGTAATTAAATAATCTCATAAACTAATAATTTAATAACCATTCAAATTGGCAACTGTTAACTCATGTTATGCAAAGTTCTCTTATTAATATGATTTTCTATTTTATAAAGCTATTTCCTTAATCATTTTACATTGTAGATACAGTTCATCATATTGTTTGAAATAGAAGACAACAAAATTGTTTCATTTTCTTTCATTAATGCTCATACCACCAGTGATGTCAATACAGCAATGGATGTGAAATTTAATTTTTAATGTTAATTTTATTTTCTTTTTATGTATATAGTGTCAGATCTGTATGTTATATGGGATTAGATAGTATAATCTTTCAATCAAATTTTTCTTCTAAGAAGATATATTAAAATCCAGACCATAAAGCACTATCCTATATTCAATTATTAAATGGATTAAAATCTTAGAATAAGGCTTTTCTTAAATTAAAACCTTATATGCTCCACTCAAAAATGGCAGATGCAAAATTCTACTAAGGAATATCAATAACAAAGCAAAATCGATTTCTATGATGATTTCATACAATCAAATGCATAAAAATTCATTTTTTTAATGCCCCCCACTTTATATATATATATATATATAAATATATAAATATAAAAAAAATAAATATATATCTATATTTTTAATGGCCCCCATTTTATATATATATATATATATATATATATATATATATATATAATTATTGCACTTTAGGTTCTGGGGTACACATGCAGAACACGCAGGATTGTTGCATAGGTACATACATGGCAAGGTGGTTTGCTGCCTCCATCTTCATCACCTATATCTGGCATTTCTCCCCATGTTATCCCTCCCCAACTCCCTATACCCTGCTGTCCCTCCCCTAGTTCCCTCCAAGAGACCCCAGTGTGTGATGCTCCCTCCCTGTGTCCATGTGTGTGTTCTCATTGTTCACCACCCGCCTATGAGTGAGAACATGCGGTGTTTGATTTTCTGTTCTGGTATCAGTTTGCTGAGAATGATGGTTTCCAGATTCATCCATGTCCCTACAAAGGACACAAACTCATTGTTTTTTATGGCTGCATAGTATTCCATGGTGCATATGTGCCACATTTTCCTTGTCCAGTCTATCATCAATGGGCATTGGGGTTAGTTCCAGGTCTTTGTTATTCTAAACAGTGCTACAATGAACATACATGTGCATATGTCTTCATAATAAAATGATTTATAATCCTGTGGATATATACCCAGTAATGGGATTGCTGGGCCAAATGGAATTTCTGTTTCTAGTTCCTTGAGGAATCGTCACACAGTCTTCCACAGTGGTTGAACTAATTTACACTCCCACCAGCAGTGTAAAAGTGTTCCTATTTCTCCACATCCTCTCCAGCATCAGTTGTCTCCAGATTTTTTAATGATCACCATTCTAACTGGCATGAGATGGTATCTCAATGTGGTTTTTATTTGCATTTCTCTTATGACCAGTGATGATGAGCATTTTTTTCATATGTTTCTTGGCCTCATGTATATTTTGAAAAGTGTCATCTTATTTTGAATAAGTTCTCATCTTATTTTGAAAAGTGTCTGTTCACATACTTTGCCCGCTTTTGAATAGGTTTGTTTGTTTTTTCTTATAAAACTGTTTTAGTTCTTTGTAAATTCTGGATATTAGACCTTTGTCAGATGGGTAGATTGCAAAAAATTTTCCCATTCTGTTGGTTGCTGGTTCACTCTAATGATTGTTTCTTTTGCTGTGCAGAAGCTCTGGAGTTGAATTAGATCCCATTTGTCTATTTTGGCTTTTGTTGCCAATGCTTTTGGTATTTTAGTCATGAAAACAGAAAAGTTGATGTTCTCTCTAGGCATCCTAAGTATATTCTTAGGTTTGACCACATAAAACTATAAATTATCATTTGTTGAACTACGAAAGTTGCAATTTCATATGCTTTAACACATGACTAAATCCATTAAGGATGACTAGCAATGATGTCTTTTCTGCCTCATCAAGATGAGGTTAGAAATGTACAAGGTTTTATAAAACACTCATCCCATAAAAAAGTACAGTATTGTATTATGTCACATTAATCCTAAGCAATAAACACATGATTCTGAACAGCATTAAAGAGCGTATTTTTGATTATTTTAAAGATAAAATACAAATAAACTCTAGAACACATTCAGAAGTTTTGCTTTTAGTGAAATAGAATTTCCAGAATTGCCATATTTTACCTCTAGTCAATAGTATTCCTTGATATTTTATTTGGGAATTTATCATTCTTAACTTTTTTTTCTGACCAGTGTGAAACATTTTGAGATATTTTTTATTTAAGTGTTACAAACAGTGGCTATGTTGACAGTGGTGGTTGAAAGTATTTGAGGTATAATTTAAGTAAACAAAGTGAATCTGAAAAATATCTTAGCATATCTCATTATAATTTTTATGTAATATATGAAATAATATTTTAGATCCCTGTCCTTTAGAGATTTAAAGGCCAATTATAACAAGGTGAAGCGAATGATTTAATCATACAGTTGTTCTGTGAAGACTATGAGTACTTTTTACTTTTCCCCTTTTCAAACCAATGCCTTCAATTAAAAGTTTGAACAATTCAGAATCCTGCAAAACACATTCTAATACAAAAAGATTCCAGTTTCTTTGCAAAGTAAGAAAAATCAAATAAAATCCTCTCTGATCACCAAGAGGAACTATAAATACCCTCTGAACTTTAAATACCTTTACCATCACCCATGCAAGAAGTATTCTTCTAGCTTTCTGGGCTGATGGCATAGATATTATCTATATCTATCTCTGTATCTCTATCTACCTGCTTACTTATCTAGCAAGACTATATTCAATTCAAGGACCATTTAAAGCACAGAAAAAGTTTATGGCTTTCTCTTAGTGCAAGGTTATCTTGGTTTGAACTGGTGAATAGTTGTATCTTCTGTGTGCCCTAATTCAGGGGACAGAACAAGAAAGCAGACAATCTCAGGTTTGCTGCCCTATTTTCTAGGGGTAGTTGTTAAGAGTATAAAATGTGAATTCTGGAGTCAGACTGTCTATGTGACCCTAGGTAAATTTCAAACATATTTCTCTACTTCAATTTCTCACCTGCAGATGCTATTTATCTCCTAATACGAAGAATTTGGTGAGTTATGTGTAAAGCTCTTCTGTGCCTGATAAGCTTTCATCATTATTGTTTTTGCTGTGGTGGTAGTGATTGTGGCTAATGTTGTTGTTTACTGCTAGTGATAATCATGACATAAAGGACAATAAAGGCCTGCCATCATCCTTAATTTATTTAAAGTAAGAGTGAATATACCTTGAAGGAGCTGTGGGAGCTATTCTGATCCCTCTGCCTCTAATACCTCTGCCACGACCAGATTCTTCTGAGCCATTTAAGTAAGATAATTCACGTAGTTGTTCCTGACGAATTTCATCATTATAGTCCTGGAGAAAAAAAATGATGTGATGAGTTAACAATGGGACATACTCTTCACAGAGCTGGAAATTAAAAAAAAAAAACAGAATGAAACACAATAGCATATCATTTTTTTCTTTTGTTTCCTGGTACCTTATATACAAAAATCTAAAATGATATTAAAAAGTATACATACTTTAAATTCCTGTTTTTATGTAGGAAAATTGAAACTGCTTCTTTTATCAAGAAAGCACTCAGCAGGACATCACATTAGATTTGCTGAGATATCACTTGATGTGTTAGCTAGAAAAGGGGAGATAGCAACATCAAACAAGAAGTTGGAATGTATTAAAGTTATGATTGTTAACAGACGATTACTAAAAAATAACTTTATTCGCATGAATGTGTGTAGACTATGAATGACTACATGATATTCAAATAGCTTCTGATGCATAAACAAAACAGCAATCCCAAGGGCCCAGAGTAGATACTGAGCATGTAATACAACCATAAAGAAGTACAATAATATGTCCCTGCTTTAGACAACCAGCAGCTGTGGAATCCAACTAAACAGTTTGATGTGAAATATTTATTTATTTACTTTCATTTTTTATTTATTTTCTTTTTTGAGATATTTTTAATTTCAGTGTTGCAAACAGTGGCTATGTTGACAGTGGTGGTTGAAAGTATCTGAGGTATAATTTCAATAAACAAACTGAATCTGAAAAATATCTTAGCATATCTTAAGCTAATTTTTATGTAATATGTGAAATAATATTTTAGATCTCTGTCCTTTAGAGATTTAAAGGCCAATTATAACAAAAGGAAGAGAATGATTTAATCATACAGTTGTTCTGTGAAGGCTATGAGTATTTTTTACTTTACCTCTTTTCAAACCAATGCCTTCAATTAAAAGCTTGAACAGTTCAGAATCCTGCAAAACACATTCTAATACAAAAAGATTCCAATTTCTTTGCAAAGTAAGTGAAATCAAATAAAATTCTCTGTCATTCAGGCTGGAGTACAGTGGCATGATCTTGGCTCACTGCAGCCTCCGCCTCCTGGCTTAAAGCGATTCTCCTGTCCAGAGTGGCTGGAACTACAGGTGCACGCCACCATGCCTGGCTAATTTTTTCTATTTTTGGTAGAGACAGGGTTTTGTCATGTTGGTCAGGCTGGTCTTGAACTCCTGGCCTCAAGTGATCCAGCCACCTCAGCCTCCCAAAGTCTTGGGGTTATAGGTATGAGCCACAGTGTCTGGCTGCAACGTGAAATATTTAAACACAACAAATTTTCCATGGGTTCCAGTATTGGGCAAACGAAAAGTGAGAGGTAAAGTAAAAGGTAACTCTCACAATAACAACCAGAGATTCAGACAAAGTCAAAAGGACTTTTTCCTTTATCAGGGCAGAAATATACCGGTCAATTCAAGAGGACCAAAGAGTGGAGCTGAATCATTAAAGGTAAATGCTACTTTCAAAAAGCAAGTGCCAGTCTAACCTGTTTCTGATATTACTAATCAACCAACACACACACACACACACACACACACACACACACACGCTCTCACATACACAGATATCCTAGCTCAATAGTACAAAACTGAGTAACTGGTTATTTGTGCCAAATAGCCAATTTGATCAATTATTTTTCTGTAAACGTATGTTTAAGTGACATCAATCTAGTGGCTTTTCTAGTGGTAGGGAGAAGGGTCCAGGAATTAACACTAGAAATTTTTTAGAGGTTTGGCTAACAGAAATGATATTTGAGTCCTAGCAGTGAGACTAAAAATTAACAGTATCATCTGCACCAAACGATGCCAATGTAGCTCTGCATATGTGTGCTATGAATGAAGACTGGGTAGGTCACTCACACACATCTGTCGAGAACACGGCAGAGAAGCATTCAGCCTACAAGAATTTCTGTGGCACAGCTTCAGCTCCTGTTCTAGAAAATGCCTAGATTACAAGAAAAAAGCCCCGAAGCATTTCACTTATTTATTTTTTTTTATTTTTAGCATGTTGCTTTCATGTTTATATTCTTCAGCACCTGATTGTAGTGATAATAGGCTCAACACAGTTAGCTGACAGAAGAGCCATAGAGTAGAAAATTATGGTTTCTAACAAGCCACCTATTATTCAATTTATACCTCCTAATTTTCTCATTGAAACAACTAAACTTAAAAATAAACATGTCTATTATTTTACTGGAATAAGGAAATATAATGAATTGCCACTACTGAGTGAACTCACCAGGAACCATCAAAATGAAACATTAATCCCATAATTTTGCAATGTAATGTTTACCAGTTACAAAGGGGATCTTTGTAGCTTCTTCTCTGAGGAAAACCCAAGGATACTTGGGTGCTTATGAGTTGCAGAAAGAGATGGATTGTCATTGCTGGCAAGACTGAAGGTTAGAATAAAAATTAACATATTGCAATTCAATTCAACATATATAGAAGTGTACCTTAAGCATCAATTTTTTTATGCCAGAATCAGAAAATGTAAGGACGTAGATGTGACCTTATTCATTTTATAATAATAAAGAAGATGAAGAAGGAGAATGAGGAAAAGGAGGAAAAGGATGAAGTCAAGGAGGCTGAGGAGGAGAGAGAGGAAGAGCAACATACTAATCAGATGGTGACATAGACTAATCCAATTTGTTCCACATCCTTAGATAGTTTCTACCATACTGACTCTGGGATTTGCCATGTCTGGGATTTGTCTTAGCTAAAATACCATGACCAAAGCAGAGATTTGAAAAGTGCTTGTATATTCAAGCTTTTCTTTTCTTCTCACTGGAAACCCTTATGCCACCTGGTGGAGAAGCCCAGGCTAGCTTTCTGGAAGATGAGAGACCACTTGGAAAAGGCTCCAGTCATCTCTGTTCTCCCTGTCATCTTATTTGAATACCTAAACATGAGAGTGAGGAGTTAGACTCCAGACATCCTAAGCCACCATGTCCCAGTCAAGCTGGTGCAGTGAGAAAAGTCACCGAGCCAACCCAAGAATCTGGAGAAATAGATAATAAATCGGTGCTTTATGCCAGTAAGTATTGTGGTGGTTTGTTTTGTGCAAAAGCTAACAAATGCAGAGGGGACCGGTCAGCAAGGTACATGAGAGATACACTTCAAGAACATATTTCAGCACCCTCTCTCCAGCCCTGCCTAGAGGGAGAGTTCTTGGATCCATGTGTGATCTGAAGGTTTCTTGGAGCAGATGTAGCCTTAGTTGGAGGTGAATATATCTGAATGTCATATCCTGGTGTCATCACAATTTGAATTGTTCATTTAAATCTTTGTTCGGAGTTCATGCTCATCAATTCAACCGCATTGGAATTCAGCTCCTAGACAGAAATCTACTAACATGGAGGGGATTTGTTATTCTTATTAATATGAATATTTGACATTGCAGGTTATGTTCATTCTTAGTGTAAGCAAAGCAACTTATATAATATAACCAATTTTCTTATGAGTTTAGCTAGAGAGCTATGCTTTAAGATATAAATCACCGCCCAGAGTTGCGGTGGCCAAGAGAATACAGACCAGCAACTGCAGATGTAATTGACGAAAGGCTCCAGTTGCTGTGCTCTAAAGTCCTATTGCTTCCAAGGTTATGCTACCCAAAAGCTTCTCCTAGCTGATAACCAAATGCAGTTAAATGCTAACACAGATCCACTCCTGGCCACAGAGGATTCCTCTAACTTGGCCTCTGGGGATTCCTTAATAGCACTGCTGAACCTACCTTATAAATTCATGGCACCAGGGCAATCCAGAAGGCTTCTACCTCTCTTTCCTTGAGGTCAGACATTGTAGGTTGAGGGCTCTCCAGCCTTCCTTGGCTCCCTCTTTTTTTTTTTTTTGTTACAAGAAGATTTTCCCAATATAATTCTTACATGTTCAATCCCATTCTTACATCTACTTTGTGGAGGACCCAAACTAATATACAGAGTGCTGGTAAAATCAACTTCCTAAGATCACAAGGCTGAGAGCTTTGGTAAATCCATTTATGGTAATACTAGTTGAGCCTATCCCATTCAACATACTTTATACTATGTATGATTAAATTGGACTGCTTGTCATTCTTTTACTTTTAAGTGGTCAGAGAATAAACATGAAACTGATTACTGATGACAAAAAAGGGTAGCAATGAGTATTTCAAAGAAAATAAATTGTATGTTGCCCAATTATTTCAACACTTTGCTTAATGAGAAAATAACAAAGACTCATGGAGATGGGCAAACACAAACCATATTTTGAGCCAGAGACTGGAAGAAATTGGTTGACACAGAGAAATTATGGCAATAATGAAAAGGCTAGTGTGTGCATGTGTGTAGTAGGGTATGAGAGAGAGAATATGGGTAACCACAGGCTGTTTAAGAGTGCTTTAGTAGGAAATGAATAGGTATGAATGAGAAAGTAGAAACAATTGGAGTTTCTAGGTGCAGAAATGGCTAGAAGGATAATGACCTATTAGCCAGAGAAAGGGGGGAATGAAAAAAAATTGAAGGTGGAGAATTTATATTTGGTTTTGATAATCTTATTAAAATGTCAGGGAGATCTTCAGGCTTATCTTAGAAATTCAGACCTGGGTTGAGGGAGGACATCTGAGTGTCAAGTACACACACTTGTGATAACTAAAGGATGCAGACTATGTAAGAAAACAGTAAAATTATGTATAGAAACAGAAATTTTCTCATCATAATTTTAATGCAAATTTTTATCACAGAAGATAATTAGTTGGTTTATCAATTAAAATATTTGTATCATTAAATGTTAAATTACCCAGATTTTTAATAAATGTTGGTTTTCCTGATTAAATAATCAAAATATATGTACCACACGATTTGTAGCAATGAGACACCAAAATACTTCAAATAAATACAGAAGAAAACATTATTTTATTTTATTTTTTGAGATGGAGTTTCACTCTATCCCCCAGGCTGGAGTGCAGCAGCACAATCTTGGTTGACTGCAACCTTTGCCACCTGGGTTCAAGCAATTCTTCTGCCTCGGCCTCTCAAGTGG